ATTAGGATTTGTTTTTGAACTTAAATGTTTTTTGCAGTTGGTTTCCTCAAACAATTTGATTTACTTTAACTTTTTGGGTTTTACAGTGTACTAATAAAGAGATAGTTCACCCCAAAATTAAAATTTACCCATTTATTCTTTCACAATTGTTTCAAAGCTTTATAACTTTCTTTCTTTTGTTGAACACTTAAGGAGATCTTTTTAAGAAAGCTGAAATGCCCAGCTGGTAAGCGCAAAAAGGAACGGCGTCATACTGCCCAATATCGTTTGTTTTATAGATGAAATGCAGCCATATTTACTTTTGGCTATGTAATTTGTGATCGAAAGAAATGTATATAGGGCTACATTTTTAGAATGGTTAAAGGTTTTCAACAGTCTTCAAAATATCTTCTTTTGTGTTCAACAGATGATTGAAAGTCAAACTGGTTTGGAAGAAGTGATGGATGAGTAAATGATGGCAGAAGTTTTATTTTTGGGTGAGCTATCCCTTCAACTTGTTCCAAACCAATTTGAGATATTTTGGAAACCAGTAACTATTGACCTCCATAGAAGGAAAATCAAATGCCATGGAAGTCAGTGGTTAGATTCTGAAATCATAGCGCTATATACATTTCTAGGGTGCTCCAAATATATCAAAGGACGTAATTTTTTTTGCAGTTTTTGTTTTCACAAATCCACCAGAGGCCAATGTCGATTGACTGACTGACTAAATGACTGACTAAATGACTGACGGGTCGACTGATGTACCTCCTTCTTCTCTAAACCCAACCAAGTGTTTTCAAAAGCATCGATTGACCAGCACCCACCACTTCCCTAAACCCAACTGACATTGAAAAGCAATCCAGAAAAAGAAAAGCCCTCGCCTAATTTTTAATACTTTTTCAGATTTTACCACATTCTCACCCTGTTATTTAATTGTTTATTTTACTTTTGGCTTTTGTTTTCGTCTTACCCACTTTCTGCAATCGTTCTTCGCTGGACTCCAACCCTGTCATCAAGGTCAGCTACTCTCCGAGCTAAATGGACAAACTGGTAACAGCAGGAAAGCAGTCCACATAGGGATAAATGGTCAGCTTGTAAGCGCAAAAAGGAATGGTGTCTTATCGCCCCATAGCATTCATTTTACAGACGAAATGCAACCATACGTACTTCTGGCTACATTTTCAGAATGAGCCTATGTTGGTTAGAGGTTTTCAATAGTCTTCAAAGTATCTTCTTTTGTGTTCAACAGAACAAAAACAACTCAAAATGGTTTCAAACAAGTCAAGGACGAGTAAATAATGGCAGAAGTTATTTTTGGGTGAACTATCCCTTTACATTCCATTCATATTATTCTGTAAAAAACAAATATTCAAAGTTCGTTGGAGTACCTTTTACATGCAAAAGTTAACTCCTTTCTACTTTTGTTTCCTTCTAATTATTTGTGATCAGTTTGAATTGAAATTTCTTTCTACACCTTTAATTAGTTTTAACACATTACAGGACATTTAATGTCATCAAAGCAACCCATGCTTTTGTAGTAAAATATGATAAATCACAAGCTTCAGTAATTTAAAGTGCAAAACAGTATATTCAGCTTTCTAATGCCCTTTCGTTGTCCTTGTCTTAAGGTATGAGGAAGTACAGCTCAGGTTAACAGTTCACGCAACTTCACAGCGGTTTTAGTCAGACTTTGTGCCTCTGTGCATTTTGCTGAAGTAGATCAAAGCGCTGTACACTCGCGCGGCAAATTCATCACTTGGTCTCTGCGGTGTCTTTTGCTCCCTGCTCTCTGGGTGTCTTCTCTTTAGTATGAGGGCATGCAGACCCCACAGGCGCACATCGCCCCGTCTGAATTATGATCTTACTGTACCATTGCTCCCAATCTACTAATGATGCTGTTTTTGTGTCAGTAGGAAAGCCAGAAAGTCTCCTTTTCCTTTCTCCACAAACACACACACACACATACACTGTGGCTAACCTAATGCAATTTTTTCCTTATTCTCTTAGGACCGCAAATGTATATTCCTGCCATCAGAGTCTTTAAAATACAATTTTAATGCATCTCTCACATTTATGTATATTTTAAGGCGCAATTAAAGCATAATGCTGTAGTTATGTAATGAAAGAGGCTGGACGCGTCCTATAAATTACTTCTTGCCCGCAGTTGGCAAGCGTAGTGAAATTCATCTCAATCTTCAAGGATTCTGGTTCTGGATGTATTTGCATATGCTCATTAAAACGAACGCAGGCGAGGAACACAAGAGCCGGGATGAAAAATGAAAGCTGAAACATTATGTTTAGTAATTAGATCTCTGTTATTGATCTTTATAGAGACTGTAAGTCAATGGAAGAAGGGAAAACTAGTAGAAATTGTTTTCTCAGTGTTATTATCCTTGGTCTTTTTTCACAGAAATGGTGCAATGTGACAAGTAAACTAAATATCTGTTCCCAAATGCATTTTCTGTATTTACTCTACTGTTATTGTCAATGGAAGTGTACTAAAACACTTAAAAAATGATATATAAATTCCTGTTAAAATAATTTGGATCAGCAAGATTTTTTTATGTCTCTTATCCTCACAAAGACTGCATTTATTTAATTAAAAAGACAAATTGAAAGTAGTAATTCTTATATATGTATATATAGTAATGCACTATTAAAGTCTTTACCCTCATATGTGATCATCTAATGTGTGTAACTTGAATAAAAGTAGGTAGTACATATAGACTGTAAAACTCAGTAAATACGCGTAACTCAAACCATTTCAGGAAACATTGCAACAAACCATTAAGTTCAAAAACTAATCTTAATAAGTACTGTAAACTTAATTAATTAAGTACAAGATACAGTTTGAACAGTAAAATCCAATCCAAATTAAGATAACTCAAACCAATTGAGTACCATAAAACCCAATAAGGCAACTCAAACCGCTTGAGGAAAACGATTGCTACAAATAATTTAACAGAACTCAAAAATTGCAACGGTTTTGGTTGCATATGCGACCAAAATATATGCAACCTGAAAATATATTTAGGAGCATTTGTGCGAGTGCATAAAATTTATGCAAAAAATGCAGTTCTCAAGCGCATATTGAACAGTGGATGTCGTACCGAAAAGTTAATAGTACATTGAGAATTGTGGCATCCCTGGTGTAAATAATTGGGAATGTAATCAGATGTATCATTGTATTACGTCTGTGATACAGCATCTCTTGGACATCAAGACAATACACTGCTAATCCAAAATTTCTTGATTATCATTTTTTTTTAAAGTTTTTAAAACTTTTTTTGTGATTGAAAAAAGTTCAGGACCTCTGCTGTGGTGTTTGATGGAGTTGAGCAAAAAAAGAATATATTGTTTTGTTTTCAGAAATAATAATCAGTTTTACAATAGTAAAGAATATAAAAACATTAGTAATTTTTTCGTTAAAACAAGTAAAACAATCTGCCAGTGGGGTACATATCTGCCACTGGAGTAAGTTATTTTAAACAGAAAACAAGATTATTTTACTTACCCTATTGGCGTATTATGTAAAAAAAAAAACTCTTAACTTTGACTAATCATTTCTGAAAACAAGAGAATAGTTTTTACTTATCTATAAAATTCTGCTTGGTTTAAGATTGTTTAGACATTTGCGCTAGAAGCAAGACAAAAACTAGAGTAACTTGCAGTGTACACAAACAGCAACATCATGCGCAAAAGTAAGTTGAAGGTGTAAAACCAACTTAGGTTCATTCTGAAAACAAAGCCCTATATACAATTCTGGAGATCGCAAGTCTGTCCCCAGAGGTACGTATGGCTGCATTTCATCTTTAAAGCAAATGCTTTTCATGCTAGCAGCTGACCACTTACCTCTGTATGGATGTTTTTCTGCTGTCACAAAATTGTCCAGTGGCGAGGTTCAAGTCCGGTGAAGAATGGTTCCAGAAAGCGGGTAAGACAAAAACAAAAGCCAAAAAATAAAATAAAAAAGTAAATAACAGGGTGAGAATGTGGCAAAATCTGAAAACATGGTAAAAATCAGGGTGCTTATCTTTTTCTGGATTGTTTTTCAAAAAACTGTCTGTTGGGTTTAGTGAAGTGGGTAGTCAATCTGTCCTTTTTAAAACACTATCGGTTGGGTTAAGTTAAGGGGGTGGGTAGGGGTATCTGTCGGTTGGTCAATCAGAGGCCTCTGCTGGATTTATGCGGGAACAGCAGGCGTGAATGGCACTTGCGAGGGAAATTTGAGATCTCAAAAAGCATATACAGTGGCCTCGCGATTCGCGAATACAAAAACTGCAAAAAAACCTACCTCCTGGGACATATTTGTTGCTCTCCTGAAATGTATATAGGGATACAGTTTAAGAATGAGCCTGAGTTGCTTAAAACACATAATATGAAGCCTACAAATAATGTAATACTATTTGTATACAATACTATTGTATTGTATTTGAATTTTGTTAATGTTGTGGATAGTTATTGATCAAAATAACTTGCTCAAAAAAAGTCTTTGATTCCAGTTGAGGCTTTATTGTGCTTGCTGGAGCAGCAACTCCAGACTGATGCTTCTCTCCCAGTTATATAGGCCTCCAGCCTCCATTAGTCTTGGAGTGTTTGCCTTATAAGGCATGAACTGCTGAACACTACTAGCTGTTTTATTTCTAGCTTTTGTATTATTTGTAGTTGTTGGTTATAGGTTTTTATTCTTAGCACCCATTTGTTAAACCCTGACAATACATGTTCAAAAGATATTGGAGAATGTTTTGTTCTTTAAATTGAGGCTAATTCATTAACATAGATCAATTAAAATGGTCAATATTAAGTAATGCACAGACATTCATCTGTGTGTACATAACCCAAAATAAGCCCAGGTAGTGATTAAGAACAAGGCAAAACACCAAAACTTAGCGAGTACGACGTAGCAACAAATGGTGAAGTTACTCTTAAATCTACCTGTCATAAATTTGCAGACTGCGCTTCTGGTGCGGCTACATCTGGGTCAGCCTTCAAGCCTCCGTGTGCTTCTTCACCTCCAGAACGTGTGCTGACTGCAGATGATGCTGACCTTTGTGACACAGAAACTGAGCTCTCTCTCAGTGATGAGGAATACGGAGAGGAAGTCTTCACTTTCTCCTCATGCCCTCACTCAGCCAGACGCAATCAGGCTAGCGGCAACCCTGTTGAGGATCTGACCTTTGGCCTTAAAGGTCACAAGCTGCTAACAGAAGGACAACGCAAGGATGCACGTCTGGAAGATGATTTCATGGGGAGTGAGAGCGAAGAGGTATGGATATATAGACGATACTTATGCAAAATGCAGAGCCATGATTTATGGATGTGACATTATATGCTTTAATGAGACTTGCGTCTGGCAGTTCAATTTACAGATTTAAGGACAATCAGGAAAAAGTTGTTGAAGTAATTAGAGAGAATTTACTCTATTGCGTTATCAAGGCAAGACAAGTTTATTTATATAGCACACTTCATACACAATGGTAATTCAAAGTGCTTTACATACACAAGAATAAAAGAAACAAGAAAATAAAAACAACAAAGAATAAAAATTATTAAAAACAGATAAAAATAGATTAATATGTGTTAAAACAGGTTTTAAGCTGTGTTAATTTTGACAGCGAATTTTAATTTAGTTTTAGTCTTAGTCTTTTGACTAAAATTTCATTTTAGTTTTAGTCATATTTTAGTCTTCTGAATCCTTTTAGTTTTTGTTGGCTGAAATATATTTGGTTTAATTTAAGTGTAATTTAATAAAATATTGTGTACATTTGTTTATAAAAAAAAGTCTAACTTTAAATTAGATAAAACAGTCTCATTAAAAATTGCTTTTCTATTGAAGACCAAAAATTACATGTGCATTGTTTATTTATATCATACGTAAAATGTAAAGTTATGTGTCTGCAATCAGTCTGCATGATAATCGCCCGCGTCTACCAGTGGACCACTTTTCAAATGTGTGTGTGTGTGTAATAAATCACACACCAAGATTAATTCTGATTTTTAATTCTGATATTTTCCAAAAAACATCCCTTAATCACATTCACTTCTTGTTTTTATTAGTCATTGAAAATATATATTTTATATATATATTTGTATATTTTTATTATAGTTGTCATCATCATTCGTCTCGTTTTCGTCGGTAAAAAACTTGTTCATCACGAAATTTATGGCGAAAAAATTTCATCAACTAAAATATAACTAGTTTTAAGGGAATCAAAAAGAGAAGAAAGAAAAAATAGTGCGATCTATCAGATGTAGCACAGTGCTCATTCGATAAAGGCACAGCTAAACAGATGTGTTTTCAGTCTTGATTTGAATGTGCCTAATGTTGGAGCACATCTAATCATTTCTGGAAGCTGATTCCAGCAGTGAGGGTGTAGTAGCTGAAGGCAGATTCACCATGCTTTGACTAAACTCTTGAAATTTCTAATTTACTTGATCCTAATGATCTGAGTGAGGTTTGTATTTAGTGAGCTTATCTGTAATATATTGAGGTCCTAGGCCATTTAGTGATTTATAGACAAGTAATAATACTTTAAAATCTATTCTGAATGTAACTGGGAGCCAGTGTAAAGGTGTGATGTGCTCTGATTTTCTGGTTCTGGTCAGAAATCTGGGAGCAGTATTTTGGATGAGCTTCAACTGTCTGACTGTCTTTTTGGGAAGACCAGTGAAGAGTCCATTATAGTAATCCACCCTGCTGCTGATAAAAGCATGAACAAGTCCTCACTGGAAATAACTTAACATGTTTTTGAGATAATGGTGTGGAGTTAGTTACTGCTTTGACATGACTACTGAAACTTAGATCTGACTTCAGAATCACACCAAGACTCTTGACCTTATTTTTGTTGGGGAAAAAAGGGTTTTGTTGTATTAAATGTAAGCAGAGCCACACAACTAATAGATATAGTCAAATGATCATAAATTGTGCACAAAATTGTTGTAAATAAAAAAATAAAGGTGCTTTTAGATTTGTCCTGTCTTGTAGACATGAAATCACTACCAACAAATCGCATACTTTCAGATTTAAATAAATAAATAAATAAATAAATAAATAAATAAATAAATAAATAATAATATGACGCAGTGGGAAGCGCTGTCGCCTCACAGCAAAAAGGTGGCTAGTTCGAGCCCCGGCTGGGTCAGTTGGTATTTCTGTGTGGAGTTTGCATGTTCTCCACCTGTTCATTTGGGTTTTCTCTGGGTGCTCTGGTTTCCCCCACAGGTACAAAGACATGTGCTATAAGTGAAATGGGTAAGCTTAATTGCCCGTAGTGTGTGTGTATGTCCTGGTCCTACAGGTTAGGGATTGAGTGTTTGGCTAATGACCCACCTCGTAAATATTGGGTATTAAGAAACACCAAAATTGTCCAGCTAAATATAACGTTGATATAAATGGCCCTGGGAGTAAGTAAGTAAGTAAGTAATAATAATAATGTCAAGGCTAAATTATAATTCAGTATTTCATTTTTATTTTAATGGAGGCACTAAATAGCATTTCCAACTTAATTAAATAATGTCATGTTTTTTTCACCTTTCATGTTTTTATACAGTATCTATTCATATCAAACTGTTTTAGGCAAAGAAATCTAATTAAAGTCTGTAAACTCTTCTGTCATCATTTACTCCATTTTAGGCAAGGCAAAGCAAGGCAAGTTTATTTATGTAGCACATTTCATACACAGCGGCAATTCAAAGTGCTTTCAGTCAAAGTGTTTTTCAAAGTGTTATAAAGTAAAATAAAAATTAGATCAACTTTGAATCACTTTTTAAAGTAATATCAACTAATCACTTTTTACAGTGTAGAAATAATCATCCACCTATATTTTTGCCACAGACGCAAATACTGTATACAAACTCAAACATCATCACAGTTAACCTACTGTATAACTTCTCAACATGCGTTGCCTGGATTGCTTTCTGTCAAAGTTTTCCTCTCAAGGACACATGATCTGGTGGAGTCATTTGTTAATGATACGCACACAATTTGATTGAGCTCCCCAGGGGCGCCGCCATTCGTTTAAGCCCATGAAGAAAACCATCAGTTTTCTTCAGTTGGGTTCATTTCTGACGAGACGGTGTCGAGCTCTATCGTGCTCCTGGGCTCTGCGTCCATTGAGAGGAACATCATTCATTTATTCACAGTCTGTTTGGTTTCCTCCTGGGAAATCAGTCTCATCTTTGGCATACATATGTTCCGCCGCACTTAATTAGAGATTTTTGATTGATACCGCTGACAGTTTTATTTGTTGTCTGTTTCCCCTTTCTTCCACGTCCTTGATAAATGTCTTTGTTTTTTTCTTCTGTGTTTTCTTGTATATGCCAGCATTTGACTTCCTATTACTTATGGGAGATGAAAAAAAGTAATAACTACTAAAGTTTGAATGTTCTAAACGTTATTTTTAAGTTGGACCTCCACATCTTGTACCTGTGTGGTATGAAATCATTTCCACTGGAAGCAGAAGTGATTATATCTGCTTAATGACTTCGGTTAATGCACCGGAAGGTAGATGCACCAGTAACATATTGAAATGCATCTGTGACACGGCTTAATAACCACAAAACACATTGGCTTCCGCTGATAACGTGCTCGGTTTAAATAAATAAATTAATTGCAAATAGATAAAGGCCTGCCCCAGACTGATGTGTGTTTACCGAATGTCAGCATTTCAGCTTAGTGTTAGCGTGATGACACGTTGTTATTTTTAACCCCCTCCAAAAAAGCCGAATTAATAAAAACAGTCCCTCCGGGGGATATGAAGATGGAAAGAAAGGAGACAAAAACTCTGGCTGATCTGATGGCTTTGCTGGCCGTGCCCTTTTAGCGAGGTTGTCATCATTAGCGTGAAGCTTGCTGTTTAAGACCATTAGTGTAGATCAAAGCCTCACTAGTTTAAAGACCTTATCTGTTCCAAAACAGAGCAGAGACAGACAACTTTCCGGGCACAGTGTCGCCCTGATTAATTACAGGTAACTGTGATGTTACTCCGCCTGCGCCAGACTGTCTCGCGTCGTGGCTATTAATGCGTTTCATCTGTGACAGCGTTGGCGTTCACGGCTCTGAGATCCTTGCAACAGATTTCATCATGCTCTTTATGACTCCATCACAAGTTTTGTTGTTAAATTTATTATTTGTGGTTTTAGAGAGAAATTTGATTTATTAACGTCTCTCCTTCCTTGTGTTAATATCCCAGTCTGGGAAGGAGATAATTGAACGCAGTGGCGTTATTAATCTTAATGTCATAATTAGCGGTGGGACACCATGAGAAATGATTTGAAAATGAAGGAAAGAAACTGCCAAGTATTGTACTTGGGTTTTGAAGTCATTTGTGCTACCGGCAGGAATGATATTTTAGATTGTGTGGTTTGTTGAGGACTGGATTTATTGTATGATTTGTGTCTGGTGGGTTAAGATGAGATAAGATAAAATGAACAGATTTACAGTGAAGGCAGCTATATCATAAAAACCAATAAGCAGCCAGATAATAACCCTAGCAACGATGTAGCAACATGCTTTTAAGTAATCTAATTAAATTGCAAATTAACCACATATAAAATGTGCCATAGAATTAAAATATGGAAATACCTAGGCATGGCTAAGATTTCATTCACTCACTTTCCTTCAGCTCAGTCCCTGATTTATCAAGGGTTGCCACAGCAGAATGTTTTTTGCAGTGGATACTGTCAGTGTAAAATCCAGGTGATAAAATAAGGTCTGCATTAAAATGTATCTTTTGTTAGTTTTGTATATTGTAAATATGGTCAAAACCAACCAATCATATTAGAATAAAACATTTCTGGAGAATTTTGGCACTTGCATTTGATTGGTCACAAAATTTGATGAGAAGCCAATATATTGTTGTCTCATTCTAAAAACGTAGCCCTATATACATTTCAGGAAATCGCGAATTATGTACCAGAGCAAAGTATGGCTGCATTCCGTCTTTAAACTAACGTTTCGGCACAGTAGGATGTCGCTCCTTTTCACACTTACCAGCTGACTGCTTACCTTTTGTAGACGGCTGTTACCAGTTTGTCCAATGGCTCACTGTGTATGTCAGAGGATTTGAGATGCGGAGCAGAGTTGACCGTGATGACCGGGCCGTCTGACAAAGTATGCTTCCAGAAAGCATGTAAGACAAAAACCAAAGCCAAAAAATAAACAAGTAAATAACAGGGTGAGAATGTGGTAAAATCTGAAAACATGGTAAAAATCAGCCTGCTGCGAGGGCTTTTCTATTTCTGCATTGCTTTTGAAAACACTGTCGGTCGGGTTTAGGGAAGTGGGTGGGCGCTGGTCAATCGTTGGTTTTTAAAACACTATTGGTTGGGTTAAGAGAAGGGGTTGGGTGGGGCAATTGGTCAGTTGGTCCTCTGGTGGATCTACAGTTGTGAATGGCACTAGAGAGAAATTTGAGATCTGACAAAGTGTACACAGTGGCCTTTGGCGAGTTCCTGAAATGTATATAGGGCTGTGTAATCAGAAAGATCCTGGGTTGAAAATTTAATGAGAAGTCTAAAGTGCAGAGTGATGTCATCAAAATTGTTGATTCAGTCGGTGCCGATAGTCTAGTAAAGATAGCACCGATATGATCACGGCGATCCGAGTTCAATTCCTGGCTAAAGATCCTTCTCCTGTCTCTGCTCCGCACACTTTCCTGTCTGTAAATTATCAACTGTCCTATGCTAATAAAGTTGAAAAATCTCTAAAAATAATTATTAAATTAAAAAAAGTTGATTCATATTGGCTACATTGAAAGACTTTTTGAAGTTTTGAACGCACATTACTTCTAAATGAGAAATGTGTCATTATTTAAAAACATATTATCTCATAAAAAACTATAAGGCTTAAAATATGAGCAGTCTTGCAGCATTGCAATATGTAAAAAATTTATTCATTTCATGCAACTAATTTATTTATTTATTTATTTTTTATACTTTTTTCATTTTCTTTCACAGGATGAAATGCATACAGAGTTTCTCAAAAGATGTGCAGTCCATTCCATTACTACTCCCCCACCACTTTCTTCAATACAAAAACACACAGCTCAACCCAAATTCTCCTCTGAGCCAATTAAGACTCGGGCCTCTGCTGTCCAACATGTCTCTGAAGGTCCAAAAAGGCACGAACCCATGCGGATAGCACCAACCCGCTGCCTCTCTCCTAGCTCCTCCAGACAAGGGAGCAGACTAGATCGGTCTGAAGCTGACAGAGCATTGCCTGATGGAGATACCAGGATATCTATCAACAGAACATCTGTGCGCGAGATCTCACTCAAGAATTCTGGGCTTCAAAAGGTGAGCTTGTTTACTTAGAAAATGTGCAAAAGAAAATTCTGTTATCATAAAATTACCCTCGTGTGAATGCAAGCCTTATGGATTTCTCCCGAGGTGGGTTTTTTAAAAACTCTTCCTTTTTCCATACAAGGAAATTCAGTTGCATCTAATAAACTGTAAGTTTATATATACCGTGGTTGGAACGAAACTGAAATGCCTGGTTTTAGACCACAATCATTCATTTGTATGCTGTAGGGCCTCCTTTTGTGGCCATCAGTTAATCTTGTGACAGATGCAAGTCCTCCACAGTGGCCGGAGGGGTTTTGAGCCATTTTACTTGCAGAATATTGGCCAGATCCTTATGTGATGCTGGTGGAGATACACATTTTCTGATTCACTTGAAACACCCCAAGGTGGCTTAATAATATTTAGCTCTGGTGACTGTGCAGACCATGGAAGATGTTCAACTTCACTTTCATGTTCGTCAAACCCCTCTGTCACCAGTCTTGCTGTGTATATCGGTGCACTATCTTCCTGTTACATGGCACCACTTCAGTGTTTAAACCATTGGGTGCACATCTTCTTCTAGAATAATTTAATAGACCTTGGCAGTGACATGCCTATCTAGCACAAGTATTGGACCTAGGGAATACCATAATATTGCAGCCAAAACATCACTGATCCACCCCCATATTTTCTCCGAGCATGCAACAGTCAGTCTGCTTCTTTGGGGCTTCTCCACAACATAACTCTCCCGGGTGTGGGAAAGACAGTGAAGGTGGACTCAACAGAGAACAATACATGTTTTACATTGTCCACAGTCCAAGATTTTTACTGCTGGCACTATTGAAACCAATGTTTGGCACTGACACAAGGGACCAAAGGTCTGGCTATAGCTGCCTGGCCATGTATATTGACCTTGTGGAGCTCCAGATAGACTGTTTTAGTGGAAACAGGAGAGCTGAGGTGGGCATTTAATTCTGCAATGAGTTGGGCAGCTGTGGTTTTATGTTTTTTGGATAAAATTCAGGTTAGCACTTGGAGATCACTTTCAGAAAGCTTCCTCTTGCATCCACAGTTACTCCTGTTGGATGTGGTTCATCCTTCTTGGTGGTATGCTGAAATTACTCTGAACACTGTGGCTCATGATACATCACAAAGACTTGCTGTCTTGGTCACAGATGTGCCAGCGAGATGTGGACCAACAATATTATTGTCAATATTGTCACCAATCATGTTGTGCAATATTTGAAGCACTGTGCTATTACTCTGCTAATTAGGGACCACTTATTGTTTCCATTAGCGTTCCTATTATTATTATTATTATTATTATTATTATTATTATTATTATTATTATTATGCTTCCTCTTCTTCTTCCGCCGGATTTGAATGCAGCCCATATAAACATATGAGAGAAAGTTGTAGTATTTGGCACAATCATAGAGAGCAGTGTTAACATGAACAACAGCAAACCTGAAGTCTCAACTCAAACTCAAAAACTTGTCCAAAGATTCACTTATGTTTATTGTTATAACTTTTGAACTGAATGGGCTTTTTTCCTCTGAATCCTTGGCTTTGTCCGATTCAAACGCACCCTATGACGTCATTTTCCATCATGAAAACTTTTCGCTATTTTGAATTTTTCACAAAGTGAAGTTTCATGAACTCATTTTAAGAGGAGAATGAGATATGACTGAGCACAACTGGTTGCTCATCTGTAATCAGTAACAATCCAATTAGAGTGATCCTAGTTTATAATAAATGGATCGTTTTCTCCCTACTGCTCTATCCTCATTTTGGAAGAATTC